AGGAGAGGCAGGGGCTGATCACCCTCCTGTTTGCCCTGCTCTGGCTCTGAGCAGCACTTTGGGAGTCCTCTGGCTGCCAGCCGTGTGCTCATCGGGCAAACAGCGGCACTGGGGTGTGCACAGGGGGCACATGGTGGGCTGCTTCGGCACAGGAGCTCACTACAGGGTCTAGATTCAGCCTGCTGCAGATGCTGAATTGCCCTGGAGAGAGAACTGCAGGGAGCTGGTCTCCATAGGGCCTGCACATCTCATCTTCTGGGCAAAGCACTGAGGTCTGATTTCTGTCAATTTTTCAGATGCTTATTGCTTCATGATGGAAATCAAGAGCTCTTTCTGTATACATACATATTGAGAGCAGTTGGATGGCAAGATGATTCTGCTGGGGTTTTTCCCCTTTATGTTAATTTATAAAAGTATCTCTGATGTTCAGACACTCTAACACCAGGCAGGACATGAAGAAACACAAACTGCAGGACCTGCAAGTATCTGCAAGCCTGGTGGTTGAAACTATTTTGATCTCCATAAAAGTTGGAAATTGGCTTGTTCCTTGTGTATAGAGATATGATATACTGAAGTCATTAGCATATACCTTCAGGGACAGATAAATGTTAATAGCAATAATAATGTACACCTGAGCTAGAGGGAATGTAAGAACACAAGAACTTGCAGAACTTCGAATCTCTGAGCTGTTGGTTTGAAGCATCTTCTGTCCCACTGAAAGTCCAAAGTGAATGTGATTGTGCCAGTGAGTTTGGTTAAATGTCCTTCCCTTAAGTGCTTGAAGAGGAGCTGTAGCCCTACCCTCTGAATCAGACAAACTTAGGAACAACAAATCCATCCTTTACTGCCCAGGCTGCTGAGACAGGAGCTTGGCTTTAGGGCTGCTCAGAGGGAGAGAAAAGAGAAAAGCTTCTCACTCCCTCCCTCCCTCTCTCCCTTTCTGTTCACTGCAGGAGCTGCATTTCAAGAACCGCTACTGGCACGACAGCTGCTTCCGCTGCTTCAAGTGCTACACGTCCCTGGTCAACGAGCCCTTCATGCTGAGGGAGAACAACAAGGTTTGGTGCAGCAACTGCACTGCTGCTGAGGATGCACCCAGGTGTAAGGGCTGCTTCAAGCCCATTATTGCAGGTACTGTGCCAGTGATGGGTCTGAGGGCCGCGTTCTGCTCTAGAGCATAAACCAGGGGGGTTTATCAGGCTGTGGAGGCTGCAGTTAGAGGTTTGGGCATCACAGTGGAAGGCTGGAGCACCTCAGAATAGTAAATTTTGACTGTTGCTCTCACCTGTCCATTTTATTCAATTGTTGAAAGGCTGCTTTGCTGTTAACCCTCATGTGGATAATTAACCCTCATATCAGTCTTAAACTATTTCTACCAAAAGCTTTGCTTGGTAAATCAAGGTCCTAAAAGGCTCAGGCAGCTGGTAACTATTTTAAGAAAATCTAGCAAGCCCTGGCTAAAATCAGAGACAGAAATGACCAGCTCATCCCTAGTCTGCATTCCAGTGGAATCCTGGGCACAGCTATGGACAGGTCCTGCCCACAGATGTTACACTGCACCGGGGGAAGGTTTGCCACAGGCCTGAAATCTCACAAGTTATTTTTATCTGTTGTAGGAGACCAAAATGTTGAGTACAAGAAGATGGTCTGGCACAAGGACTGCTTCACCTGCAGCCAGTGCAAGCAAGTGATTGGATCTGGGAGCTTCTTCCCCAAGGGTGATGACTTCTACTGTGTCTCCTGCCATGAGCACAAGTTTGCCAAGACCTGTGCTAAGTGCAAGAATGTAAGTCCTTCCCCTCCGCAGAGGCAGCTGCCAGAACCAGCCCTCGTGTGCCTTTTGGGAGCTGGGAGGGTGAACCAGCAGGCAGACCATGCCAAAGCTGTACCAATGCTGGTGTTCTTCCCCTGAGATACCAGTGCCAGCAACTGGTGGAATGACAGGAGAGCTTGGAATGATGGTTCCAGTGCATTACAGGAACTGGGCAGGGGTGGTTGGTCTGATGGCAACACTACAGAAAACAAATTATGCCAGTCTTGCACTTCCTTGGGGTAGTTTAAGCTCTATAGTGGTACTGAATATTCAAGTAGTGAAACAGTAGCTGTTCCACAACTTCTGCAACTGATTAGTATGGAATTTCAGTTACTGCAGGTAAAAGAAAGTATTATGAAAGTGCCAGGTATGTGGAATTTCAGTTTAGAGGGACTCTAGTGCACTGTGCAATTAAATTTTAACACAAACTTTGGAAAGATCCTCTCCATGACAAAGCTTTCCTACCCTACACCCCATGCCTGTGTCACCTCTCTTCTCCTGTGCTGATTCTAAACCACACCTGTGCTCTTTCTCTCCCAGCCTATCACTTCTGGAGGCCTCACTTACCAGGAACAGCCTTGGCATTCCGAGTGTTTCATTTGCTCCAACTGCAAGAAGCAACTGGGTGGGAAGCGCTTCACAGCTGTGGAGGATCAGTTTTACTGTGTCGAGTGCTACAAGGAGTGTGTTGCCAAGAAGTGTGCTGGATGCAAGAATCCTATTACAGGTATGTTGGGTTAAATGCAGCTCGAGGGCAGTGGGTGCTGAAGGTCAGGACAGTGATCCCCCAAAGACAGAGAGCCCAGGGATGGGTAACATCAGAAGCAGGTCTGGTAACCCAAGCCCAGTCCCAGTATTTTACATGTGATCTGGCTCTTGAGCCACGTGCTTGTGCTGGATGGAGGCTGAGCTGGTAACTGAGCTCTTCAGCCTCTGCATGTCTCAAATTTACCTCCTTCAAAACTTCCCCAACCAGAACAATTCCCACCCATATCTTGGTCTGGGACCCTTAGGTCTAAAACGAGTGGTGTTTTATTGCCCCACAGGGACATTTGTACCCCTTCCAATGTATCTTGCACTTAAAACTCACTGGATTACAGAGCTCAGCCCTGAACTGCAGCCACTGTCCTGCCAGTCCCATGAGGCTCACATTCCATCCTGCATTTTAGAGCACAGATCTGAGCCCACAAGTGTTTAGCTCAACCTGTCCTTGCTCCACATCTCTCTTTGGAGAAAGGAGCAAAGGGAAAAAGTTGATTGCAGAGACAAGCCACGCAAGACTTTTACTTATGTTTCTCCTTCAAGAAACATCAGAAGATGCAACAAAACCATGCCTCAGTTGGCACTCTGGGAGTTTCAGGCAGCCCCTGTGGCCTGCAAGCCTGGGGAGCAGTGGGGCAGCAGGACCAGGCAGTGCTGGTTGGTGGGACAGCCCAGCCAAGGCAGCGCTACTATCGCCGTCCTATAATTGTGTTCTCTCCTAGCAGGATTTGGAAGAGGAACCAGTGTGGTTAACTACGAGGATGAATCCTGGCACGATTACTGTTTCAAATGCACAAAGTGTGCCCGTGGTCTGGCCAACAAGCGCTTTGTTTGCCATAATGGAAAAATTTATTGTGCTGAGTGTCCCAAACGACTGTAAATGAGCAGATGTAAGATGGATTTTAAAGCCCTGCTTTCCCAAACAGCCCTGGTAAAAGAGCAGGTTTTTGCATGTTGAGAATTTTAACTTTTTCCATTTTAGTGTAAGAACTAAATTAGCCTTAATATACTGGGTTTGACTTTTGAAACTCTTGCAGTACAAAAGCATGTAGCCTTGCAAAAATCTAACCTTGTTTCCAAGTAACTCCTAGTATAAAGGCTTGAAATGTTGTTAGATTTAGAGATCCACACACTGCATCATCTGTGTGTGGCTTAAACTAAAACAAATGTAGTTTTAAGCTTATCTGGTATATGATTAAGCTTGGCACTTAACTGAAGTGGGTTTGACAAGGCATGCACCTCTGACACAGAGATGCAAAGACTGCATGTGAAATCAGAGGGATCCATGATTATGCTTCTACAAGTACAGATACACAACAAACACTGCACCATTAATAAGTAATAAATACCTTAGCTTACTTTACAACACCACATTGCAGCACATGTACGGAATGGCTTCATCTTACAGATAACAATGTTTTGGCAGTGACATTTAGCTTAGTTAAGTTTACATAAACTTGTTTTAGTCTTGATTTCCGTGTGGTTTGCCTGCAAGTTTTCCTCATAAGCTTTTTTTATATATTTGTTTAAACAAGGCTGTCTATGTACAATTATTAATCCATTAACAAGTAGTAAATCTTTCACCTACAACATGCACATGCATTTACAAGTGCCTTAAAAATAGCTCATACAAGGTTAGCTCTCCTATCATGTCAGTGTATGTTTAGTGACTGAATAAAAGTGAGGCTAGTGCCTGCTTGGAACCCATAGTCTGGAATTATTCTTTTTCCATTTTGCCATCTTACATGATTGATGTGTCTTAGGGCTGAGCTACTGAAACCAAGTCTACTACATAGATACTGGCAAAGTAAGAGTCAGCTGTGCTGTCATTGCACCCTTAAATATCTGAGGACTAAAGCAACAATTTCCATAAACTAATTAATTTTTTTAATATATAACCGACACTGGACCATCTGCCAAAAACAGCCTGTGTGAAAAAGCCCTTTGGAGAGCATATGTACAGCCACTGTTCATGCACAGATCCACCACGCTTCAGCAACCTGAATGCTGGTTTAAGGAGGTTTTTTTTCCATGGTAGTGAAATACTTCATCAACTGGATCTGCTCCAGCCCTTCCTTTTCAACTACTGATAAAGAACCCTTGCAAGAAAATGAAAAGGCAGCATCTTGCTGGTCACTGCTCCACTGCTGGACTCACAACACAGAGATGCTGCTACTGCAGGGGAAAAGCAAAGACTGGCAGGGAAAAGCAGGTTAAAGATTCCTCAGTTCAGAACATGCCATCAGCATGGACAAACACAGCAAGAGCTGAAGGTGTTAGTGAAAATCCCTCTCAACCACACAGGCTGCTAGTTTGGGAATCTGGAGCAGTTAGAGCAGCACCAGAGTGCATCCCAAGGCAGGTCAGCATGGCAAGGGGTGGAGAGGCCTAGTAAGGTCACATTTAACATTACAGAAATAAAGCGTTGTTCAACTGCAAAGTTTATTTAACTGTGCACACGTATTTACACAGGGCTGGATCAGACCATCCAACAAATCCCAGCACAGAAAAAATATCGGCATCTTTGTTAGAATGATTGTCTCTGCCAGAACAAACAGCTATCATACAAAAATACAGTTCTCCTTTTACCTAAGGCACTGCTCTAAAGTCTAAAACAGTTCTACAGGATTTCTGAACAGCAAGAGGGAGAAGACTGAGGGCTCTGTTGCAGCTGAGGTGTCGAGGAAAGCACAGGTGTAGTTCCAGCAAAGCCACTGCAAACACAGCTGCTGCTTGGATGCATCCCTGGAACTGAGGGACAGCCAAGGGCTTGTAGCAGGTTTTGAGAGAGCTACTCCTTAAAGTAATGACCTATGCAGTCTATCTGCTACAGGAGACATCAGAACAAGGCTGCATTATTACTTTTAGTAGCAATTTTCAGAAGATGCTTCGTTAAACTCTTCATGCTGAAAAAAGCAGGCAAATTCAGGTTAAATAAGATTATTTAATGCAGGCTTTAGGGGAAGGGAAATATATATGCAGCTTGCAGCCACTGTTATAGAGCTGGAACTGGAAATCTTGGAATAATTAACATGAACAAAACATGACTTCAATGGTCTAATACTGTTATGTACACAATAAAATAATACTTCCATAGTGTAGATAAATAAGTAATTCAAAAGGAAAACATTTTTAAAAGCCTAACACCTTAAACTGCACCAACAGACAAATCTAGGGACTCAACATTTTTGTAATATATTAGAGCACATGCTGGAAAATGTTTTCATGTTTGCCAATAGATCAAAACATATTAGTGGTGGAACAACACTTGCATTTTGAAACTGCCAATATTTTCACATTAGATAATCAGGAATTTTTCTTCTCCATTCAAAATTGAAGATATTCAATTTTGCATTTTTAAATAGCACATGAACCAACAAGCAACAACATTTTTCTAGACATTAAAAAGGAAGTTCAGCTTTAACATACACTGAGTGAGTCTTTTATTTCATCAAGATAATTTTAGAAATATGCAAAGTCTGCAGCTAAGTGGGGAGCCTCCAGTGGCATGTTCTACATGATACTGATATGAAAATAATTAAAAAAAGACTCAACCAGGTTACTGTAAAGGGGAAACAAGGAATACTTGAACTAGGAAACCTCATCGAACAACTAGCTAAACAAACAAAAAAAGAACATTAGCACAACAGTTTCCCTGAAATGTTTCAAGGTGCAAATTAGAAGTTTGTCATCCCTCCCCTGTTGTTTTTTGCAAACTTGAAGATGGATAAAGGTAAACAAGCAGCTTTTCAAAACAAGGCCTTCGGTACTTGAGAAAACACTGGATTACTGAAGTGCAATCAGATTATTTCCAGGTCTCTAGTGTTCACAGTTCTGTCCAAAAAGCAAAGAAAAAAAAAAAAAACCATTTAACCATCATAACTGTGTGTACGCCACATGCATCGATCATCACTGTCAGTCTACATCCAGGAGTGAGCACAGAACCACTCGGTCACTTACAGTCCAAAACTAGCACAGTAGGTTTTCTTTCTTTTTCCAGGAATATTAGTTTTCAAAGTTATGTACAGAATTCTTAACCTGTATTACATTTAAAAAATTTCAAGTTCAAAATTAAAAGGCCACACTTCCTTCACTAAAAGGTTAATGAGTATGATCACAACAAAAAGTGAACAGCAGAACCACAATAAATTTGTCTATTCCCATGGCTCTGTCTGTTGTGGCTTCAAGGGAAGCCTCCATCAGGGTGTGACCACAGAACTAAAATTCACAAGACGCAGAGTGACAGAGGAGACTCAGGAAACAGTTCAGTCTAGGAAAGTGCTACACTTTAATCAAACAAGTGCTACACATCACTGGAAGGAAATGTGGATAGCAAGGCTTGTTTTTCCACTAGCATTCACTTCAACTGATCACACAGTCATTTATCCCATGGAAAGAGATCTCCTGTGAAAACAGCCCTTTGGGGTTTGGCTCCAAAGGGAGCCAACCAGAGAAGTCCAGTCTTACATAAACTGGCTTCCAGAAGCTTCTCTGACACACTAAGCACTGTACTGCATCAGGGCTTGGCTTCTCAAGTACATGTGGCTTGAGATGCAGCCCTGCCTCTTTCAGAAAATTCAGAATATTTTGAGTACAGCTTTATTACTCCTCCCAAAATGTAACACAACCATCTGTGGAATTTCAGGTTGGTGCTACTTGCCTCAGTGAAGTGAAAGACTGTTCTACAGTAAGTAGAGAGCCAGCTAGTACACTGCTAAGAGTCTGAAGAGACCTTGTAAGACCACACAGGTCAGCATCAAAACCAGAACCTGTCTAGGAGTGAAAAGGTCTGGTGTGCAGAGTTACATCAGACACCTTTCAAACTATTTTGTATCTTCAAAAGTAACATGTGCCATTTAACATGTATTAGAAAAACCTTGAAATACAACATGTGACCTTCAATGCTGTTTGGAACTTCACAAGGGCTTAACTGTGTCTTTGGAAGAGCCTTAATGTTGGGCCTTATCCAGTCCCTAAAAAGGCATCAGTTGGTGACTCCTTTTGACAGAATTCAAGTTAAAAGCACTAAAGAAAGAGCCTTCCCTCCAGTCTACGCATTGGAAAAAGTGCCTTGAAAACAAGAAGCTGTAGTTAAGGCAAGGAGAGCAAAACGCAAGGAGGTGAATTACCTAGCTGGGGGAAGAGACAGACAGGGAAGTCAGCTTGGATTACCTGATGAAGCATCTATAGGTTTGGTCAATGAATTCACTGCACCATCTTCCTCAAAAGCCAATTTGGGAGTAGAAGGTAGTGTAGCAGCATCATTCAAGTTTTGATTACAGTTACCAGCAGAGATGCTGTCCGAGCTCAGTTTGGTTGACTTGGAATGTACTCCAACATCAATGAACTCCTCAAAAGTCCAGGAACCAGATTTTCCATTAAGATTCTGAATAAGTCCAATTGTATGATCAGCTTCATGAACACCCAACTTCCCCGAGTCATCAATAACCACTTCTTTTGCAGGATGGCTACAAAAAACAGAGAATGGAAAAATAAAAAGCTTGTGTTGCAGTTTCCATATGTTTAACCTTACATTGATTCCAGGACTAATAATTTACAGTCTGCATACTCTGCAAAGCACTGAATAACCCACAGGGCATTCCCAGAGAAGCTTCAGCTGCCACACAGGATCTCCCTTCCAAGAATAAATGGGGAAGAAAAATTCAGCAATATATACCCATTTTTTACTATACTAGCAGCCCTCAGGTAAGGCTTCTGTCTCTAAAAATTTGACATAAGAAAGTAACAAGTATAAAGCTTTGATTATTAAGTCTTGATTTTTGTAGGGTGCATATTTCCTTTTTTTTTCTCCAGGTAAGACTTTTTGAACACAAAACTAAGTCTCAGAAGACTAGCAATATTTAAAACAGATTCACTAGCTAAACCCAAATTACAGACCAATTTTCACTCATTCTTAGGACAATCATGGAAATGTCTTTATAGTCCATCACTGGAGGAATTACATTAATTTATCATCACTTTAAAAAAGTGTTCACAATTTCTAAATCATTAGCATTTAGATGAGTAAATGGAACAAGCATCAGAGGACAAACTGTCCAGTAGGAGATGAAAAAGCTTTATGTTAAAAAAAATAAATTGAAAGAGTAAAAAACTCAAATTCCTCACTAAGGGAGGCTTCTGCATCGTATCTGGTATTTCAGCACAACTGAAAGTGTTCTAGAACTTTCTGTAGGTTATTCTTCCTTTTCAGTGTTATCCTCCTCCCTCTTGTTTAATGTTTTGTTAATGAGAAGAACAGCAAGGCATTTAAATGGAAAAGGTTTCAGGCCAATGTCTGTTTTTATAATCAACACTGCCATGTTGCTGGCTGTGTGTCACTTCTCAGCAAAGGCAGCACTGTTAACATGGTGCCATCTAAACAAACAACTACCCTGAGCTACCTGCTCTGTGTGAGGCTGTGAGCTGACAGCACACACCACGTGGCTGGAGAAAGGCACAGACACCACAAAGCCACCAAGGTGCTGCAGATTTAAATAAATGCTGCACTGCATTTATTTAAACACAGACAAGAGCTTTCTTGTGTGAGAGCTAAGTGCTCTAACAGTACAGCAGACTCACCTGGAATCCTTTAGCTCAGTAACAGACAGAGACTCCTTGTCACTTTTCAAGTCACTTCCATTCATGAACACTTCACCGGCCTTCAACTCTGACTCATCTTGTGCCTCAGATTCTGCAGAGATCATGCTTTGTGCAGTCTCTAAACAATCCTCTGCCTCCCCCTTGATGCCCTGGAGCAAGTCAACACCATTTAGCTTTCCTGTATTTTGCAGGGAGAGAGGGAGGAGAGAAAATTAAATACAACGGAAAAAACAATGTGAGTAGCAGAATTGCTATTCTAAATGAATAAAATACAAGTGCCAAAATAACCCTTCCTAGCCAAAACCTGAGGTACTTGGCTTCAACAGATTCATTTGTCTGTAGACAAGCTGCCTATATCAACATGAAATTTGTTTTTCATCTTCAAAAATCCACTTGTAAAATGAAAGCATGCTGCCTGAATTTCACTCTCAAATAATTCTGACTGATTCTCTGTTCAAGAAGGGAGTCCCCCTGGCATCTCTGGGACTGGTGTCTCAGACAATCCCAATGCTGTTAGGACTGACCTTTTCAACAGAGCTTAAACACCACTGAGACTCACTGCCACCCAGCTTCCTTACCTGGCTGATCAGTCTTCTCAAGACCCAGCTCCTCCTCCTCTTCAATATCCTCTCCCTCCATCGAGGCAGACTTCCCTTCATTCTGCAACTGAATTGCCACAGTGTTACTTGGAACAACTCCCTGTCTTCCACAGTTTCACAAATTCACTCACAGCTCCCACACAAAACCATTCGGTGCCCAGAAGTGAGGCCACACGAGTTCCAGGCTCACAGACAACCAGGTCACCCAGCAACATGTGCTTTGCAGAGCCAGAGCCTGTAAGACCCACTTCCACATCCTACCTATTATTCCTGAGTTGCTTTCCCCCACTTTTCTCCAAGGTGTGTGCTAAGTTTTTATTGATTTTCAGCTACAGGAAGACTTGAATATTTGAATGATCAAAGAGGAACAACTATTCCTCAAGATGCACATTTTTTCACAAAACTAAGGTCACTGTATTAACAAAAATACATCCAGTTTTCTGTAGCAATAGCAATCCAAAGAGAATTGCTCTAAGCAATTATTTTGCTTTAAGCAAACAGATGATGCCAGAAATCTAAGTTTTCTGGGAAAAATCTGCCCTGGCCGAATGCACACAGTTAAAAATAAATCTATTATTAACCAGGGTTTGGTTAAAACAGTTTTTAAAAACCAGTCTGAAGTGATAACACCAGATAACATTGTGCCTATAGGCCTGGAACTAACATGTAACAAAGACTCTTCACATAGCAAGCCAAGCAGAAGAATGTGTGCAGTGGTAAACTACAGGATATTATTCTGGGGCACCAGAACTGTGCATTTCCTGTGGAAACCATTTTGTGTATGGATAACAGAGGAAGACAGGATACAAGGCAAAAAGTCCTATTCTGCATTTTACAGATCCAAACAAAAAAGTACCTTGGATTCATTTTGATCCGATTTTCGTGTTCTTTTCATTATTTCTTCTATTCTCTGTTAAAACATGCAGAACATTTACAATGACATACAGAGCTTTCTATTTCGGTATTCTGGTTAAAATTCATCAATCAGAATATATTTTCATATTTCATGTGTGTACTATTTTCATCACTGTTTTTAAATTTCCCAAACCAGAGCTGGCAGCCTTTAAAAAAACACACTTCTATTTAATTGCATCTGAGACCATTTGCCCGTTCATTTTAGGCTGAAAATTCAAAACAGGATACCTTTTTTCTTTCAAGCCTTTCCTGCATATTTTGCTGCATAATCCTCTCTCTTTCCAATCGCTGTCTTTCAGCCTCTTCTTGAGCTTTTGCTTCAGCTTCTTCTCTCTGAAAAAACAAAAAGAACAGAGCACCCAGTGCATAACTTATTCCCAACAATAAAAAGCAAAGGATTTACAGAATCCAGTTCAACACAAACAGGAACATCAGACAATCACTGTTTAATATGACCACACATTACAACTAAATGTCAATAACCTAGTTACTGACACCAATATACATTACTAGGACATTCTGAAACTGAAACCAACTATATTGAGGTAATGCAAATGTTCTGAATGCTGCTGAGCTACTGAATGTTTTTGTTCAGACTACGCTTTGGGATGAAGGAGGATAATCTATAAAGTAACAAGACAGCAATTAAATTCTAAATGTGTCAAGGTGAACTTAAAAATTGTGGCAGTCAGGTATTGCTACCAAGACCCTTGTTGCTGAACATCTTCTACTCCTCCTACTCTGGAAAATCTTTTCCAGTATGACTGGAAAGAAGACAGAAACATAGTTAACACCCTGAGTAATTGTCATTAACAAACATTTAAAGAAATATACATGCGGCAAAGCCATTCACAGCTCTTTGAACACAAATAATTTCAATGTAAAACTGTTTAATTTTTGGAATTAATCTAATTTAAGGAAAGCCTGCTTTCTGCAGAGCTGCTCCCTTCAGTTCAAAGGATGTCTTTGCAAAGGTACTTGGCTGTGGAAGACTATTCAGCAACAGGAAAGGCAGACTTGGAAACACTACCCATCTTTCTTTGAGAGAAATCAGAACAAACCATCTTCTTCTAACTCATAGCAGTCTGCTGGTTAAGTGGGCTCAGTACAAATATCTTACATATGCAAAAGAGCATCCCTGATGACTAAAAAAAATATTCCAAAATAGCTGCTTCTACCCACACTTGAATTTATTAAACGCTAAGGAAAAAAAAAAAAAATCAGAGACCAGGGCAAGGAAAGACCTACAGACAGTCTCAAATCCATCTCAGACAGGATGAACTCAGCCTCACATCACGCCTGAGAGAGATTTGTCAAAACCATTCTGTGAAAGAAAAATCAAAGGCAACCCTCTTGAAACCACAGCAGCAGCTTCTTCCAGGAACACAGCAGGAGCCACAGACCTGCTGTTGGAGCTCTGCGAGTTTTTCCTGCTCCTCCTGCTCCCGGCGGATCCTCTCCTCTTCAGCTTGTCTCTGCTGCTCTTCATAAGTGACTCTCCTCTCCTCCTCCTGCTTCCGGAGCTCCTCCTCCCGCCGTGCTTTTTCCTCAGTTGCTCTCCTGGCCATTTCTTCTTCTCTGATTCTAGAATTGCCAGGTATAGATTACTGGGTATTTATATCTTTAAAAGCGTGCATGCACAAGAGACAAGAGTAGGAAAGCAACAAAGTTCAAGGCAGTCCAGTCAGAAATAACTGCATAAAGACACCTTCTGGTGAGGATTTACAAATGCCACCATCAGACTTATAAAAGCAAAAATTAGAATAACTTGGAAAAAATTATCTGTGAGTAAAATCTCTTTGCTAATTAAGTCAAGGCAGGTTCCAATAATGAAATTTGATTGAGAATTGGATTAACTAATGACCATCTGCAACCATGACATGAATAAAGCTTATAATCAGTGTCAAACATAAATTTAGTGGGATTTCCAAAAGATTCTTTCTTCTATAGACTGAAGGTGCATACTGCCAGTTCTTGAAGACATACAGGGCAGATCTGATGACATATTTCTAGAGCAGATTATATACAAGTTTCTGACAGCTTCATATCCACAACTGGGAAACAGACAAAATCTGACATTCCACCCTTTTTATAGAAGGCAGATGACCCCTGACCTAGAATAAAGTTAGTCAGCACTAACTTAGCCATTTATTTTAATAACTTCTATGCAGTGAATCAAATCCACACTGATTTACTACTTTGAATTGCTTGCCTGCAAGATTCCTGATCCATATTTCATGTCACTAAAGTGAGATTTAATGTACCATCAAACCACTGCCTAAGCTGATCAAAGGGAAGTTTGATACAGAGAATTTGACTCTTTCAAACCAAATACGAACAAACCAAACACAAGTGGTGCAAAAGGCAAGTTCTAGTTGTGAAACAAAAGCCCCACTGGTGTCTGGAAGGAAAAAGAAGCAGTGACTTCACAGGGACTGTGCATTACATATGTACTGAGCTATAAACTTATGTTATACACAGTAACCTGTGCCAGGTTGGTGCCAGTGCCTCTCAGCTTCAGGAACTCTATTAACATTTGCAGGGACTTAAATGAAAACTCAGAAAACATACACAGCTGGAGTGTCCTTTCCAACCATACCTCACCACTGAAAGCATCCCTTCCCTTCCTCAGTTGTTACCTTTCCTCTTCTTGTCTCTGAATTCTTTCTTGGTCTTCGCGCTCTCTTTGCTCCCGTGCCAGACGTCGCTTCTCTGTCAGGATTTTAGCAGCTTCTTCAGCTGTGGTGGTCCCTGCTACTGTTTTGCTACCTGATTCTGCAAAGGTTAAAAGAATCTGCTGTTAGCAGGTTCCAGGAACTTAAAATTATGAAACATGTTATGACTGTGAGATGAGATCTTATGGCCAACTGATTCAGTACCTTTTCCATCAGTGCTCATCACGTAAGTGATTGCACCCTTATCTGTAACAGGCCTGCAAGAGCCAAAGGGGAGCCCTGAAGGGGCAGAGGCACAATATCTCACTGACACTGAAAGAGCAACAGCTCATTTCAACACTGGTCCAGCCATATTCCAGATGATACACTTAAAGATACTGTCCAATTATCATAGCATTTAAAAACATGTCTCTGACAAGACACCCTTATTTCTGTAATGCTTGAACACCGAGAAGAAAACTGGGAAAAAAACTGCTTTAGGAAATACCTTTTACTTCCTTCTAATAAAACTGAATGCACGGGACCCTAAAGAGGAAATTATCATTCTTTTATTTTTCTTGTTTCATAACATTAACATTCATGGCTTTATATTTACATAGTATCTTAGAGTGCAAATGATCATCATTTTATCTGGCCCTGAAGGCACATACTAATGACTTCAGTAATACCATATTTCTATACATCATCAACAAATCAATTTCCAATTTACATGGAGATCAAAACAGCTTCAACAACCAGGTGAGTAGATCTTTGCAGGTCCTGCTGTTTGTGCTTCTTCATGACCTGCCTGGTGCTATGGTGTCAGAACATCAGAGGCACTATTACAAATTAACATCACGAAAAAAGTCAAAACAGAACCATCTTGCCATCCAGCTGCTCTCAATATGTATACTGAAAGAACTCTGATTTCTATCAGTTATTCCCATTCCCTAGAAATATTTCAGTTTGAATGTGATTTAAGAGCTCATCATCTGAATATTCAGAGAATCAGCTCTTGATGTCAGTAGAGGAGCAGCATCATAATTTTGGTGAGGACCTGCCTTTCTCCTAAACATTTCACAAATCAGCAGATTTTTGCTTAACCGTTATACAGCATTGAAGTCAAGGTAATTTTAATGAATTGACATCAGGGTTTGACCATTTATTTTACTTCTGACCTGAAGACAAATAATTCAAAACACAAGGTCATCATTAGGAACTTTAATACCTGAAAAGCTGCTTAGGCCCCATGGACACATAATCACTACCTGCAGCTGCAGGGTATAATTAACACACAGCAAACTCTCAGCAGCTGACTCATGGCTGTCTTTTGTGCATAAAAGTTGTTCTTGCAGTCCTAGGAAAAGCATTTCAGCACTGACGTAGTGCAGGCACAGAGAGTGTTCTAACATTTAGATTTATCCAAAGCTGAGAAAACACCACCTCCCCAGACAACACATTACTTCTGATGTGGGAAAAACTTGCAGTTGGTACTAACAAAAATCAGCCTGTTCCAAATTTGACCTCAGTCAGAAGAGGTCCTCCTCCTCCTGAGCAAGAAAAACCATTTTGCATTTACAAAAACCATTAGCAGATCTGCCTGTTCAAGATAGGCAGATATTTTTCTTCCAATATTCTGTAATTTACTAGGTTTCATTTACTGTTGCCAGTGTACAGCCATGAAGAAGTCAAAATGTCTCTCTCTTCCTCTGTCATATGAGTGTTCAGACTACTCACTTTTCACAGCAGAGGCCATTTTTTGTTGTACATTTGCGATCTATCCGAGTTGTATCAAATCTGGTTGACATTTAATGTCAGGTTTAACCTAGCTCCCCTCCTCAAAACTGAACCTAAATAAGACAACCTAATGCACAGCAAGAAGCCTAAAGGTTTTTTACTTAAGTTCTAGGGTTACAGCATGATGACAGATTAAGTATAATATCAGTTATTGACAGAAGAAAATTAGTCACAACAGTTCAGAACACTGCAGATATGTAAAGAACAGGGGGAAAAAAGAAGAAAGGGTTAGGGACCTTCCCACTGCCTTTTCACTTCTGCAGTTTTATTGATGATTTCCATATGGGTATTTCAATACTGTTTTCATCTCCATGTAGCCCTGTAAGGACATGAGATTTCCCAATATGATTGCTAACATGCCTTAAGAAAATTCAGTCTTTTACACTCAGATTCCTTTTCCTTGTATTCCTAGTCATTACTGGTAAGAAGAGTCTTTTTATCAAAGGACTTCCCTTTTTGTAAGGGAAAGGGAAAAGAGAGAAAAGGCAAGAGAACCAAACCCTGAACACTTGCAAAATGTAGTACTAGCTGGATGGAGGGAAGATTCTAAGGTAAGTAATTAATTCACAATTAATCTAGGAATCATATTTCAAAGCCTTCAATACCCAGATACAAAATGTGAGGCTCCATGATAGTTTATTACCTATCATCATGCATAAGGTGAGAGCTCATGAAGGAGCACTTCTTATGCTTTAAGTTGAACAAGCCTTTTAATTCTCAGAGAAGCTGCGAGAGGCTGCTGCCAGAAATGACAACTGCTCCAGTCACTGAAAAATAAAAAGTGTTTTACTGCGGAACAGTATATTGCAGTAGGAAGACACAAAAAACAAGACAAAAACTTGATTGCTGTCAGCAACAGGCAAACAAGTTCAGTTTGAAGGAGAAGAAATGGGATGAAGATACAAGTGCACAAAGCTGAAGTAGGCTAAACCTACAAGACCTAGAGACTGATTTGCCACATGCCATTCACTGGTGTGCTCTGACTTCAGAAGCTGTCGGGGACAGGGAATTGAACCAACCCATGGGATGAACTGCTGACACAGACCTGTAAAATGAAAATTGCCTTGAAAACTGAAAGCAACTTCTTAATGAAAAAGATACTGCCTCACATAGCAATACTGCAGTGTACCAAACCATTAAAGGAGAGAAATTATATATTCTCTTATTTTGAAGAACATGCCTACTATTTCCTTTTGTTCTATGTATCAAACAAAGAAAAAGAGCTTTGCCCAGCCCCAGTAGGAATCACTACAAAGATGACTATTTTGAGATTAAAAATAAGCTAAATGGAAAACAGATAAACTGGGTTAATACAGTTTCAGAAGTCAGTGTAGAGATGAGATAGATCAGGCATCCAAGGAACAAGGACAGAGGTACTTGTTCCAAAACAACTGGAAGATACAGGACTAGGACACATTGTTATGGAGGCTTCAACCAACTGATGACATTGATCAGAAGTGATGATGCTCTGAGGCACACAAGACATTTATCCACAGTATGGTAGCACACTGAGAGATGGATGTTCTGACTGCAAAGACAAAGGACGGGACACCAAAGACGGATGTGCAACTCCATACAAACATCCACCTCTGACAGCCAGGCTTCCTTCCACAGGAACACATGCCCAGAGAGCTCTACCATGAGTTCTTCAGGTGAATGACACTTCCTCACATCCAACAGAAGCCATATCAGGAGGAGTCTCAGAAGTGGCAGAGAAGAGGAGCAGCCCAGGGAAGCACACAGGAACCGCACATGCAGTAACGTGCAGCAAGCACATGTTCCCACTTACCTGGTATGTGAGGGTTCACCCCCAGTACTGCCCACTGGCTGTAACTTACAGTCTAAAGATCTCTCCTTTTCCTGTCAAGGTTCCCTAAGTCCTTCTGCACAGTGTATTGCCTGCCAGACCTCATCAGAAGGCTCTCCCAGATTCTGTTGGAGATGGCAGCTGGCATTTTCACCAGGGACAGAGGCCAGGCTCACGTGGCACAATGAAGAGGACTAGAAGACCAATTACTTATCTGCTATATGGCTCTCCTTAATCTACCAGGATAACTTCTCCGTGTGACCTGTGAACTGATCACTCTTTCCCAAGGCAGCAATGATTACATGCTCACTGGAACTTAGGCCAAGGTAGCCTTCAAGCATTGTGAAAACTCATCCTGTGATGAACAGGAGCTGATTTTGTCCCCCAAGAAGGTCTCTACAGGAGCATTTTAAGAACTACCAACTGAACTGAAAGACCTTTGTGTAGTTTAACTACTAACTTTACAAACTCAAGATAGCAGATCCCTCAGCTAGAGCAGCTGAAGCCCAAAACGCAAAGAGGATTTCTGCTTTTCTTAAAATTAAGTACAAGTAGTAATATTGAAAGCTCCTGATTTAAATCTCAAAGTCAAACAAACCAACTACTGCATTAAAATTCACATCCCAAAGTCATACCATGAAAAACTATTATATAATAAAGCAATGAACAGCTTCTGCCTTAAAGCATCCTACCCTGCAGGGCTCTGCCTCACGAGCCAGCTGTTCCCCACTCCTAGCACACACTGGAGAGGCCTGGAGCAGGAGTGAGTCAGACACTGAGAAACACCCACCTTCTTTGGTCTTTGTGCTAGCTGCTCCTGCATCCCTCTCCAAGGCTGGGGAAGCACCTTGATCTTGTCCTACTCCTTCTGTGCTCTTATCCTTTGGTTTGCTCTCTGCTTCAGTTTTCTTTTTGGTAATGTTTATAACACTTGGTGTGAGAGATGGGCGCTGGATGGGTGCTGATTTAGAGACTGGAGTAGGAGATGGTGGCCTTTGTTTAGACACACCAGGTGAAGGTGGGCGAGTCTTCTGTCTGTTGAAATAAAGAATATTTTTCAGAGCTAACAATGAAAACCTCAACCACGCGCCTGAGGAGAGCAGTGTCCTCTGTTTAGTTTATATTACATATCTCACTTTCAAAAATAAATCCACCCACAAATTACTGGTGCCTTCCCCATAAAACTTAAACCAGGATTCCAAGACACCTTGGGCAACCAGCCTTGCTACTTGGGGGCTAACATCAAAACAGGACTGCTAGCCCAGATCTCCATTTACTCCTCATCTAGGATGAACCTTGTGATTCCTATCCAAGAAACTTCCTATGCTAACACAGGTGGATCACTTCATTCAAAAGTTTGCAGGCTTTTGTTGGTTTTGGTACACAGACTGCACAGAAGATTAGGGTGCACAACAAAAGTTGAGGTAAAAGCTGCATCCCTACTGTGGGAAAGGGAAATTGGACCCAAAATGAAGACTTTTCTGTACAAACGCAGCATAGCATAGGTCATCCAAACTCTAACAGCTCAATTGTCTTGAGACAGGAAGAAGCCTTCATTTTGTGCTGAATAAAAGGTGTTTACACATACCTGACAGCAGAAGAGGTTTAACCTGGGCACGTACCTGACTGCAGAAGGGGACGGAGGACGCTTCACCAAATTAGCAGGAGAGGGGGATCTTCTACGGGCAGACACGGATGGTGAGGGAGGGCGCCTCAAGCCAGAACCTGGGGATGGTTTTTCTGTCTCTGATTTCTAGAAGATACACAAAAACAAAATACTGCTGACTCTCTAGAATACATTGCAGACAAAGGAGCTGCTATTTCAACAAACAAGCAAGTGGTCAACAAGACACACTTTGAATTTCCTTTATGTTCCAAAACACAGACCTGGTCTGTGTTTAATTTTTACATAAATTAAAGTTTGGGAACCATAAGCAGCAAACAATACGCCTTCAAGGTAAAAGAGAGATCAAGTACCATATAATTCCAATTGGATTTTAATACTCTGTATTTTCTAGGCAAATGCTACTGTACATTTCATTAATGCTTATTGAAAGCAGCAGCAAAGAGGGGAAACAGGATCCCATCCTGAGCCGTTCCAACCCCCCAGATTAATAGAAACTTAATTCCTCTGGGTTTTCAACAAACCTGGGTTGAATCAGGTGAACTTGCATCAGATGAAGACACAGAGGACTTCAACCTGTCGATGCTACGGCTGCGCACCGGCACTTTAGGAGCTGGGACTGGGGAATTGATGGAACTGGCTGAAGCTGAACGAGGACAGAGGTGAGATTCTATAAAAGTTAGGAATTTGACAAGACAAAACAAGAACCAAGTGCACAGCATAAGAACAGGAGAGAAGGAAGAGGGAGAAAAAGAGAAAGAGATATTGTGTGTGTTAGAAACCGTACAGGGAAACACCGCAGGCAGTGCACAGTGCAACGGGTCACAGACAGACACCACCACACAATTAGTACTTGGGAAGCAACAGCACCAAGAATAAACACTCTGAAAGCAGCAGTCTGGAGTAGATAAAAATAAAATGCTTTTCCAAAAATGGATCAAATTTGCAGTACAGCAGCATTACTTTAATTTTAGTCAAGTTGCATTTGATCACAAATGCTTCCATATCAAAGAGCATCTTTCCTGACAATTTCTTCATGACAGGTTCAGATTTCAAGCATGTTTCCTCTATACTCAAGGAGGAAATCTCCCTTCTTTTAAAAGGTGATGTAAAAAAGTTCAACTATTTAATTATGATACCTTTCCTATCTGAAGTGGCACTCTCTTCACATATAAGATATTGGAAGAAATTTTATCTTACTACTTTTTTACTAACATGATCACAGACAGATAAGCACACATAGATGCAAAAATATTCTAAAACTAGATATTGGATTCTTCTATAATTCAAATAAATTGTGACAAATGCAGCACTTAGTTTTGTAACTAACTTTATGGAAAATACATTTTATTTTTGTATTTGCAGCATTTGTGCAAGGAGACCTGCATTCTGTTTGTGCACAGATTGTGTTAAAGCACAGGTACTTTTCTACTGAAATGAAAAAAGTACCTCTAAGTAAACTCATAAAAATGTATCTTTAGTTCAGCAATAGTGAGTGTCACATGCTAACAGTAACAGAAAAATGATGGCATTTCCCCACATGACATGAATTGAATAATTCATGGTAAAATAAAAGCAGCACATACACAGGTGTGTAAAAATATGACTATTGATGACAAACCAAAAAATAAAAACTGGTTATTAGGCAAGTGGAACAGTGTGGAAATGTCACCGTTACTGATAAGGACCAAGTGAAATGGTGTAAGATAAAAAATAAAGATGTGATTTCATACTAAAGAAGAAACAGGCAAAACTGATAATACAAGTTGAAGGTAAAAGAAGAGAAAAGACTCCACATTGGTTCCAGAGATGCATTTACTGGGGCATTATTAATTAACCAGTAACAATTCCAGGACATGTGGGATGCAGCTAGGGGGGCTTGCCCACGATGCAAATTCCTGCTCTGGTAAACTGAACCTGGTGTGGACACATCAGGTCAGTCTGGACCAACACAAAACTGCTTGAGTCAGCCAGGGTTTCTCTCTTCTATTATACCCTGACTTCTCCTATCAGCTGAACAAAGCCAGCTCAGGGCTCCCTGTACCTATCTAAAGGTAACTCTATTGTCATGTTTCTGCAAGAGTTTCTTCCCCTAAGTTTTGCACTTTAAAATTATAAGTTTCCTTGTTTTTTTTTTTTTTCCCTTTCATAACCTAGTACTGCTCTAACCACAATGTCTGAGATTGAGTTGAGGGTACAAATGCAGGTCTCTGTCAGTTAAAAAAACCACAGTTAAAAAATCCCCAGAATGAACACCAGCATCTGGTTCTCTGCAGAGCAAGTAAACCAGCACTGCAGTTTAAAAGCCAATATTATTATATGGTTTTGTAAAGTAAACATGCAACACAGCATGTGAATTTGGTATTAATGACCACAGAAAATACTGGGTAAGTAATATTACACACAACAACGTATTAACTGTCTGATTCAGACAGAAGTGTAGCACAGTTAGCAGCTACCATCTAAGTTCTTGCTTGAAGAGCAAGTGTGTAAGATTTTGAGGCTTTGCTGCCCTCCTGTTACCTGAGGGGTCCTGTCCATCAGCCGACAAGGTAGCAGCACTTTTACTCCTAGCTAGGGAGGCCTGTGTGGGGGCCAGGAGGCGGCTGATTACGCTACTGTCCAGGGGACTGAGCTGGGAGCGACGAGCTGGACGACAGGAACAAACCAAAAAGGATCCAACATGAAATCATATCATGGAAAACAAAAGCAGTACAAAGCAAAGGAAGACTGAGCATTGTTGCAAATCTTAACAGTTTTGGAAGAACAATACTGAAGTCATGGAGGGGGAATTCCAAACTAAAAGCACAGAAGGGTTAAACACTGCAATCTCTTATGTTGCACTCCTTGTTCTTGACTTGCTTAGTACAAGTCATTTTCAAGTGCAGAGACTGGCACATGACAACAGAGGCGAATGCTGAATCCAGCCAAAGTATGAGATGTTTTTAACTGAGCTCTTCAGAGATTCTAGATTCTAGATCTCTAGATTGCAGGAAAGGCTGTTTTGACATAATAAACAGAAGGCTTGCAAGTCAAAGCCAGAAGTTATGGTCAAGCATCGCCTGCACACACAGATTCACATGGACAGCACCCAACATTCTCTCATACAGGAAAGATTCTGAAGCAGAAATAATTTCAACTGTTGGCAACTGCTGCTAAAAAGGAAAGTTTCAGAATTGTTAACTCAGAGGGAAAAACATGTTAGACAAGGTGCTATTCTTCAGGTTTAGGAGGAGTTCCTAGGAATGAGGTTATTTTTAACCTAGCCGGGAATACACAGACCAAAAGAGACTGAAGTGAGAACAGGTTTCTTCCTTCTGCATGCACATGGTTTACTCCAGCAGCAGGAACAGAGGAGTTGCTTTTAAACTGAATATTGAAATGGAACTTAAAAAGCAAAGGTAAGATTTAACTAAGGAGTGAACACATCAGTGACATTTTTACCATTTCTTACCCTTCAGTCTACCAGCTCTCAAATAGATTGCTTTCTTAAGCAGACACATATTGCTGTCTGCTTGCCATGCCATACAATAAAGACTAAGGCTGCCTTAGAGGATTTCTTTTTCTGTCCCGAAGTAAAAGTTTAACTTATACAATTTTATATTTAACATTGGGTAACTAAAAAGCCATTTAAAAGTCCTAGAAATTTAAGAACTTAGGAAACTAGTGTAATCAAGCCCATCCAAACTTTAAAGGCTTTTTAAAAAATATTTGATTTTATGAAACAACCACCTGGTTTTTCTTCCTTTTTCACTTTTTCTAGCTCTGGAGATGATTGGGGTTTACTACTCATTCTACTCAAAGATGTGCTCCTCTTCTTTTCTGTTCCTCCTAGAGACCAAGCGTAAGGAAGATTATTTTTAACAAGATATGATTTTCTAAATTGCCATCCCATGCTTTGCTTTTACCAATCAGCTAAAACCATCAATGTATCATTATGAAGCACTATTTTCTCATGAGTTAAATGGTTTGGCTACCATTTGTCTACTTTCCCCCCACCCTTCCACATTTCAGAGGAATAAGGTTGGTTTAGAGACAGTTACCCAATATCTGGCACTGCAATGTGCATAATGTATTTATGCCACAGTGCACAGACTGCATGAATGCCTGAGTGCAAACATTTATAATGGAACTGGGGCATGGTTTAAAGGAATCTTTGAATATCCCATTTACTGCCTCCCAACTCTCAAAACAAACTGGTTTCTAGCACCTTTCTGTTCCACCTGCGAACCTTTGGGTGCTGACTGCTGGGAATGTGGAGGGACTTTGTTACTCAGTCTGTTTAATGAGGCACTTCTCTTTGTGGTACCTGGAAGTGAAAGTGCATGGATTAATTATGCTGAAAAGCCCAGAGGTACCCTCCAACACCTGCCCCACTTCCCTAAGAGAGAGAGGAATGATTAAGTTGCTTTATAATATTGAATTCTTCGTAAGCAGAAAAACTGGATCAGGGAAGAACCACTTCATACAAAGCATTACTTCTTTAATTTCTGCATGTTTCTGATCACAGCAGTAGTATGTTAGCCACAACAGATTCTTGTTCGATCTACAGAGGCCATCCTTGTACATCTTTAAAATACACCAGAATTTTAAAAGACAACTGCTCACAGTCTCTGTGAGTATGAGTGAGCCTAGAATTAACACAGTGGTAAGTGGAGATACTCCACTGATCCAGGACAAGCATAATTTTCTCATTTCCACATTCTGCTCCTTCACCCACCCAGGCACACGTGCACAACAGAAGCAATCTGGTTCATTTTAGGACTGTATCTAATGTCCTGTGAATTTACCCATCTTTTTACCAAACAGACAGTTCTCCCCAAGTGTCAGATTGAGAGCACAGGATCACTCTAAGTCACTCTCTCCCCCCGATCACATAGATCACTTGGAGTCCTGTCCAAACTTGTTGTATTTCAAGCCACCTGAGAATATTTCCTCCGAAGTGACTAAGGATTCACAAAGGATTTCAGGGTATGACAGTAAGTTTGAAAGCAATCCCAATTAGTTGATAATTAGTTACTTCCTTTGTAAGAGGTTTAATTTGTACTTTACAACCCTGCCTCTGACTCATATCCAGAGCTGAACCCTGCAGACACATAATATATAAATATAATTTAAAATCACAAGCAGCCTCCAGTGACTCAGAGCCCCTGCCAGTATAAATATAGTCACTGATTTCCCCACCAGGCACAGAGTGGATGATCACAAATTTTTCTGCTGCATCACCTTTCAACACGAACCAGCAAAACCACCTTTAGCTGTGTCTGTGTCAGGGATTCTTTTAGCTCAGTTTGCTTCATCAGAGGTTGCAGCCTGGCAGAACACTGCAGCACAGACCTAGCTGAATCTGCTTTTGTATTAAACAGCTTTTAGCTTATTCATCATTTTAGAAAAACAAAAAAGCAAAAGCAAAATCCTCCATATTTGCAATATAGGCAGGTTCATACAAAACTCTGGGAAAATTCCAAATTAACAAAATCTCATGCTAAAACAAGCCAGAATATGTGCTCCTACAAATAGTTTTTATTTATCTTAACAAGTATGTTGGGACAATTCTTTATCATAATTGATTTTTTTCCCTCTCATTGGCAATCAAATGACTGAAGCTGTCTAACAGAAAAGGACAGACTTTATTTTCATACTATGTCTATTTTGCTGAAATTTTAGAGTGTGAATTAAGGCATGCAAATCCATAGAGATGATGGGAAATTATCTGTGAATCATTAACCAAGATTTGACCTTTAGTAACAGAATTACAGAAATAAAAAATTTAAAAACCAGCAGTTTTTACCATCGCTCTTCTCCTCTAACAGAGATCACATCAACTGGGTCAAAGCCCTGAACAGTCAGGCTGGATTAAGAAATTGCATGAAATGCATCTGAGATCAAAATATGAAGTGAGTCACACAGCAGGGGAGGAGGGAGAAGTTTTCATTCCACCTCCTGTCTCCTCCCCAGGCACAGCTGAGCAGTGCCCAGCTCCCAGCAGCCACACACCCCTACTTACTTCGATCTGAGGCATTCAAAAGAGCTGCAGACGAGGACAGGCATTTGCTCACGGCAGCCTCTGCCTGTTTGAGGTTGGCTGTGGAGGGCGAGCGTTTGCTGGCTGTGGAGAGAAGTGATACCTTTAGAACTCGCCCTCATACTGAGCCTTTCACACCTTGCTGGGAGCTCACTCTCCAGGTATTACATCCTGAAAGCTATTTCCACTTTTGTTTGATGATAAACACAAAATTTTGTTTTCCTTTGAACAGGCTTGATACCATTAGCACCAGCTGGGACAGTCACAGAAAAGGCAGAATTTAGTGGAGTCATGCCAGGATTTATGCATATGTGTGTGAACAAGGGATTTTTAAACCCCGTACCCCTAACATAGAAAGACAAAAGCTACTGAGGTTGTCTGTTGTTACCAGACTGGCAAGACACAGAAAATAACAACAAAATCTGGAAAATTTCTTTCTTCATTCAAACCAGTTAATAAATCCAAACCAAAATGAATTATTTTGGAGGAATAAAACCAAGTCCTAAGGAAGGGCAAGAAATCATTCTTATTTCTGATTGCATCACAAAGATTGCTGTATTTTAGAAATTGCCAATTTTTCTCTAAAAGCCACTCTTAAGTTCATGTTTCCTATCAAATCTGCAATTTTTCAGAAAAAAACTGCCACAAGAGGCATTAATTTCTTTTGGTATGTGTATACAGATACATATACACACATAAAAAGCACATTTTGTGTGGCAGAACTGCAAGTTTATTAGAAGGCAGATAAATACCTGCTTTTACATTTCAAATAATGTACTTTCAGGATGAACACTACTCCAGAGTGTGAAAGCCTTGGGAAAAAACCCCATATACCTGTTGCTACAGAAACTCAGTAAGCAGAAAACATTAATGTACACAGAGGGGTGCAGACCAGCACAACAAACACATGAAATTCTATACATCTAATACAAGTAATTGATTTTACTGACACACTGCACAGCAAAGATGATTAATCTGAACTCATTAGTGCATAAATACCAAAGGACACAGCAGCACTACTCACCACAGAGGCAACATCTTTTCCCTTTGCCAGCATGCTACAGCAGCCCCTTATAGCCAGAGCCAGGATATAAGGATTCCTATGGACAGCCTATGGGAAGCTCTTGGCACAGTGAACAAGAGCAAAGTCCCCTGGGATAAGAGGAAGATCTACTGAATCTGGTTTAGAAATTAAGATCTGAGCTTAGTGGACACTTTCCCAACATAACAAAATGAAGAAGAAAAAAAAAGGGGGGTATTTTGTGAATGGAGTCTGAGAACTGGGATAACTAAACAGCCTTAGGAGGTTTCATATACGAAAATCAGGAAGCTCATAATTTATGTATTCGGGTGTTTTTGAAGGGGAAGGCTACCCCCTAGTGTCTGCTCTTTAAAGGAAATCCTGCCTCCTGCCTGAACTCAACTGAGTCCAAGGCCTCCAAACATCACAGAGACACTTCACACAAATTTCTCTTGGTTCAATTTATCACTTCAGCACTTGTATGAAATCTGAGATTTGGTCTATCACCTACTGGGACCCAGGTACAGAGGTCAATGCTTTTTCAAGCAATACATCTGCATGATCAGATGGCCTCAACTTCTTCCCTACCTCATTACAGAACAGCTTCTGCAAACTATAAAGCTCCTTTTTCTAGGAAAACAAAAAGCTTTAGAAGACAACCAGACTGACTGGCTCAGGAATACCCTGCCTATGTAGCACCATTTGAAAAAGTATCCCAAATAACTTCTTTGGGGAAATGTTAGAAGACATCCATTAAGGGGTTTAAAATCAAGAGGCACACAGCCCATGTGACATCAACTTCTCTATTTTTCTAATGGAAGGGGGAAAGCAAACGCAGCAGTAGAGCTGAAGAAAGTACATGTCTGCCATGCAGCAGGACTTGGACTGGGCAAGGAGCTGGAAAACATGGGATCTTAAGAAAATCACTCAGAATGAGGAGCTTTCAATCCTCCCAGGGTTTCACTGAGAGGGTGCTGCAGCATTGCCTGAGGCTGGATAACATAAGGCTACATGAAATAAGATCAGCTGTCTCTCACTTCCTTCCAAATTTCTAGTAGGACAAGGAAGCTCTTTATTTAGCAAGGAGAGGCTCTGGCAGCCCCATTTCTATTCTAATAGCATGTCTCCAGTCCTGATGCACCTGAACCTCTAGTTCTGCTCAGCAGGCACCACTAAAACACCCCCTTTACCAGGACTGTCATCAAGGAGGCTTTGTTGCACAGCTTGGCCATTTCTCTTGGCAGACCCACACCCTGCCTGCTTCATCTTAGCACTGACAGCAATGCCATTAATGTAACACTTGACTCTAGGGCTTTCATCCATTTTTCCATTTCTCCATCAGCAGGATCCCTGCTGTGGTCTCATGAATCACACTCAACATCCCACAGAACTGCTGATGGCTGGGGAAATGTTCCATTACATGGGCTTCACTTTCCAGAGCACACTATCACACAAAACCTCTGCTCTGCCACTCAATGTTCCTAAATATTACTGTTGACACACCCTGTTCATGGAAGACATATCTGATTCTGCATTTTTTTTTTTGCACAGCACTACAACTGACAAGAATGCCTTTTGTCCTAAAATATTTAAAGAATATTTGAAATCAGTTCCCCAAATGCTTCTCATTTTAAGAAATGGGGCTTTAATCCCAAATCTACCACAGAATTTGACAGTGGAAGTATAATAATGGATTGAAATTTGCTCAAAACATGCAGTTAGAGAAGATGCACTATTCAGCTACAATGATGTAATGGAATAGAGCTCATATAGTGTCATTTTTCAGAGTAAAAAAAAGGTAATTGTTGTCTTTCCAGAAAATGTGCAAATATACAGCAAAATGGACCATATAAGGATTTTTTAGAAAGCCAGCTGGATTTAAGTATCCAACATGGCTTAGGTAGATTTTCAATAATAATTAAGTAATGAGCTCACAAAGTTAAAAAGAACTACCCTGAAATAGGAATAAATATGAGAAATGTAAAACCAGTCATGGTTCCACATTATCCACCCCACAGATCATAGCTTCATGTTTGAAACATTAACATAAAATCAAACACAATTTTAAAACAATGTGGGTGCACAAGGGCTTGACTAGGACATTGCATTACCTGTTTATCTCCATTGCAATTTTTTTTCCAGATTGGTGCCAAGTTATCCAAATTGATCTACTGCTCCTGAACTATCTGCATAGTCACTTCATGATGCATAAATCACAGTTTAAGCACTTACTACATCAGGAGCATTTGTGTTAGAAGATATTTTATCTTAAATGTGCAGCACTGAAGATCCTCCACAACGGAAAGGACAGACAAGGCTCAGTTCCTCACATAAGTCAGGAGAGAGCAAAGAATATTATTTTGTGTTTGTTAGAAGAATAAAACACACTGCTTTCTTAAAGATGTAAGGCAAATGTGATTTCCCAGTTTCAAGGTTAAATGATATTTGGTAGTCTGAGATACAGTGAATGGATTTATATACGTATCCAAGGAACACACGTAAAGCAGATAAACCAACCCAGCCAAACTGGCTGATTTTGGAAAAAATTAGGGGCTCATGATGTGCAGGGCAAGGGAAGAGAAAAGTTAACTAACATACACATGCTTCTGCTGTATTGCCAGAGTAGTTAACCACAGTCAGTCAGAGCTTCACTGCAGTTCCAAGTCTCACTTGTCTGTGTCACAGACAGCTGCACTGCATTAGTAACGTTGTGGGCATGCACAGACTGTCAGGATTCAGATTCAGCTGGGTCTCAGCTGAGAGTTTTCACCTCAATCTAGCCACAAGAAATAATTTTGCTTATTAAACATATGTATCAGTGATCCAAAGCATTTCTATGAATGGCACAGTCTGTGCACTAGAAAGTGCCAGAAATCCAATGAAAACACATTTCTTGTATAGAATTATCTTTAGGTAATTGGGACAGCTCTGATTTTGCAATACCCTCCATGGAAAAAGTATTAAACTGCTCAAGAGACCCATTCCCTTTCACAAAGTTTTACTAAAACATCATTTGATTTTGCAAATGTTACTTCAATTGCTGGTACCAAAGCAAGAAGGAAACAAACCAAGACCTACAATATAATTTTTGCAAAGCAATGAAACAGTCTGAAACTGCCCTTAAACCCTCCAAACCTTAGACCACTGAACTAATTTATATTCAAATACTTGCTCACAGAAATTTCTCTTCTCCTTGTGCTGTATCCAGACCTCTTTAAAAACCCAAATGAACATAGCCTTTCCCTAAAAATTCCCTCAGCATGCCATGACTTAGCTGTAGTTGAATTAGCTGGGAGGGACAGCCAAAATGAGGGGGCCTGCCTTCTACTTAGGGAATCACATTTGTTGCACAGCTGGCCAAGATCCAGGAAAAGATCTATAAGAAGATGGTTTTCCTTAGTGTGAGAAGAACTCAAGCTTAAAAGGTTAGTAGTGAATGCAAAATAACAGAAAAAGAACATTTTATAAATCTATACCACCAGCTCCACCTTCATCTGTGCTCTGCTGTTCTGTAGAAGAAGAAGGTTTGTAAGCTAAGTCATGAGGTCAAATAGCAAAAAATTGCAAGTTAACCAAAAAATGGGGATGCTGCATTTCATAATGACAACTAATATCAAAGCACTTTCAAACATTTTACAAACACACACTCAGGATGACAGAACAGTACCATACTCAGTACAATTCCACCAATACAGAGGATAGGCTGAACTGAAGCATTTTTTAAAATTTATTTTATTCCTGGCCAATAACTTATGCTATTTATAGGTGGTTAGGTAGTGTGTGAAAAGATCCCTTCTACTGCAGTCTTTATTTGCTGGTCTGATTTCAGAATGCATACAAGTAGAAACAGGTAATTGTGAAACAGGAAATCATCTGAGCTCAAATTAAAGACTGTTAAAATGCATCACCTAATCCAGAATAGAATCCATGTTCCAAGAAGCTTGGACTGTCCAATGTGTTTCCTTACCCCTTACTGGACATTCAAATAATCAGTCAGCATTCCATAACTCCAAGGGTCTGTTTAGAACATTTTAGATGTGATATTAGAGTACAACTGGGTACTTTTGGTTTAATCACCAGTCTTGGCACTCCACTACATGAACTGCATTTGAAGGACTCTCAATTATCTTAATATTACAGATCATAATTCCCCTTATCTGATGTTTGAGGGCTGGCAGTGCTGCCATGTGTTGTATTTCCCATGGAGCTTCTCTCCAGCTCTTCCCAAGGTCAGAAATAGCTCTAAATCTGAGCAGCATTTCAGGGCAAGTACAGATATGACACCTTCCCATGAGCCACGCATAGATCCTGCTTTATAATCCCAGATAGGAAAGGATGCCCAGGTCCCTGTGAATTGTGCTGCATCTGCCAGTGTTCACACAGAATATTCTGTGATTTCAGTCCTACTAAAAGCAATGCTGCTTACCTGTTTTGCCTTCTGAGTCTGGAGTTACAGACCCTCCCCACGACCATCTCTTCTGTCGCGTTTCCAGCCGCTGACTCCGTTCCAAGGTGCGATGCAGAACTGCTTCATAGCGCTCCTACCAAACAACATCTCCATGAAGCTTCTAGCTGTTAACCACAGCCACGCCAGGAAACAAAATACAGACCACCCCCAGTATGATTTATGATCGGTTTTACCAGGATTTTGTTACAAAAATTATCATGCAAAGAATGTTGGAGGCAATTAATGGCTTCAAAACACTGCAAACATGATTAGGTCCAGCTAAAGCACAGATAATCTATTCTGCTCTTTACTTAAAATAGCCACCAAACAGATTTCCTATTCAGTAAACAGCACTACTGATTTTCTAAATAGGGATGAACCCCAAACTGAGCAAAAGTAATCTGTTATCCTTGAAACTATTTCTATGATTAAGTTATTTCTAAAAGGTGATAAAATTTCTCCATTATAAAATACCAAGTATAAAGTTATTTGTAATTTCAAAGAACTGTAAAAACAATGACCGGGTCTTAACAGATGCTGAAATTATGAGAGGTTGAGATGTGATGAAACCAGGAACAGCAAGACATAAAGGCAAAACTACAAAAGAAGACCAATCAGGTTCAGGCCCCAGCAATCACTCCTGACAGGGGGCTGAAAGAAGCTTTTGCTGCTGTCTCCAGAACTAGTAACTGCCTGCAGGGGAGCTTTAGCTCTTGTGCATAAAAATGAACCGTAACCATGCTAGACTCCTTGCCAGCCAGGTTTCCACACGTGTCAACAACACATTTTTCTTTTGGAATAGCTATATCCCAAGTGATCTCCTGAAGCAGTATTTTCTGCAGATACACTGCAGTAAGATGTCAAGGGAACTCATTATACAGCCATTTCTCCCACTTGGGGACACCAGACTTTCACCTTCTTTCAACACCATTTCACAACACAAACTAAAAAAGTCACTGTGCAAAACACACAATGTCAACCTGGAAGGAAGGGAGGATTCTGCTCACTGACAAAAGATAAAATTAAAAGTTTTTGTTTGAAATACAAAGCTTAGTTTCCCCTCTGTTAGAGAAACCTGAACTAGAGTTTACCTAAGGTGCCAAAGTACCCAGACATTATGTAATCTGTAGATTGTATTTCCATGGAGGTATCTGCAGTGCAGTAATTCTTCAGTCGGAGTTAGATATAGGCTTCACTTTAAAAATGACAGAAATGAGCTCAAGACCTCAATATAGTGAGCTGCAGAGATGTGCAGAATGACTGAGGAGCTGTGAAGAGGTATCTGAATCCTCACCTCAGCTAGTGGTCTTCAGGATTTTTAGAACCACTCCCTTTGCCACACTATTTGCTACTGTGCTACTGCTCCTACATTATTAGAAGATTAATTAAATGAGACCTGGCTGAAAAAGTTAGCAATAATGTTGGGGACTATGTATTTTGACGCACTTCTATCTACCAAATACAAAGTTGTAGATGGCATTGTGCTGGTGTCTTTTCCTTGTGTCAGAGTACCAAAGTCAATATCTGTTTTCACTTTCTGATTGAAGGCAAAGTTTTACAGGTCAAATCTATATTGTCTTCCTATGTTTCAGATTCTGCATGTATGCAGAAGGTCATCTCCAGGGACTGAGTAAAAGACAAGGTAAACACCTCAATTGCTAGTCCTTGTCTCCCTTGATTATTCACTCTGGTGGTCACTTAAAACATACCTACTATCCTCTAAACTGCATGAATAAATGTAATAAATGTAACATCTTTTTGAAGCATAAGGGGTGTTTTCTGCATAAAGTAGTTGCTTAAATAAATGACACTGCACTGGACTGCAGTCACAGCCCACCCAAGCATTTCTGTTCTCCAACGGTGTAAACTATTCCATGAAGTTCAAATGGAGTATCAATCTGATCATAGCTGATTACAGAAAACCAAACACCAATGTAGAATACTGCCAGTGAAAAAGGCAGTGAAAAAATGAATTGCTAGAACACTGGACTCAAAGGAGCAGCCAGCCAGGCTTACAAGCTCCTCACCAAAGACCCACAAGCAAGTTCTTACAACCAGCTTATGAATGCACAGATGTGTGATACTTCCACATGGTGATACTGAAAATTAACCCTGGAAATTAACCCCTTCAGAACTTGCACATTTAATATGCACTAACATAGCTACTTCTCAAAAGGATGGAATAACTTCATGTATTTATTTCTGCTGCCAGCTTCTATCATTAAGTGAGTGCCAAACTCAAACACTGCCCTGCCTGTCCATGTGCAGTCAGAGCAAAGACCAGTGAGCACAGTCACTACACAGCTCAAAGCAGCAAATGACAAATACACAGATAACATCACCACCTCTCATCATACAGGAATGGATTCAGGTTTAGAAGAATTACAAGAATATGAGTCTCAGGCCACATCAGGGCCTGAGAAGGAAGCAGACATGGAAATAAGAGAAGTAATTCTAAGACCTGTCACCTATGCTGATTTACAGACAAAATCTACAAAGTGCTCTGAAGGCATTTGGAAATCTAGGAATATGGAGTGGGGGTTTTGCTCATGTGAAAAATAACCAGTGGCAAACAGCTACAGCTCCTGAAGTCCTGAATGCCTCAGCTATAGCTAAAGCTCTATGGGGAAGGTGAACATGTGCCTACATAGCCCACTATAGATGTGGAAAATACTTTTCTGCTCTAACACATTCATCATTTCCCTGAGTTTCTCATTCACAGCACTTCAGAGCATGGTAATGTAAAAAAAACATGTAGCTCTTTTAATCTATGGAACTTTGATGTGTGTTACCTTTTCCTCCTCTATTTTTTGTTTCCTCTTCTCTTCTACTGCTGCCCTCCGTTGTTCCTCTTTTTGCTTCATTTCTTTTAGCTTTCTCTGCCTTTCTTCTAACTGTTTTTCATACTGGAGTTTTGCTTTTCTCTCCTTTTCAAGGATCTGTGTCTCTTTGGCAGCTGTAAAGATATTTTTAAGAAAAAATTAAAATCAAACTTAGACATTCATTGATATTGCAATGCAACTTACAAGCAAGGGACTATCCAAGTATAATTCTTACCACCTGAAGTGAAAATGTACAGGAAGATGAACTTGCAGAGGTGACAAAAGACAAGAGACTCCTCTTTAATTCTGTTCCCAAGCTGGAAGTGGAATTAGAACTTTGCCTGCTACTAGGCTTTACTGTCTAAACAGGAATATCAGGATATGTATATTCCCTATATTAAGCATACACTTTTCTTACCAACATAATGGTGATGCCTCTGTAAGGAAGCAGTAAATTAAAAATGAAAAAGTAGAATTTTTTATGTTGTATCTTTTTTGGTTTTTAAAACAAAATATAGTAATATTTAAGGCACTGAGTGACAAGATGGGAAGACCCTACAGTTCCTGCAATGGAGTTCAAAATAGTTATATCACCATTCTCTGCACCTCCACCAAGGAACAGCTGTGTGCAGTTCAACAGGAAGCCTCAGGTCCTGTGACGCACAGCTAGAATTCATAGAGCATTTTCCATGGCCAGACAGATGAAATGAACCAAGAGGCCAGATAATCACACCAATGCACAGGTAGCATCTACACACAGGGCCACCAAAATATTTCTGAATTTTATATGCATCATAATACTACCCTGTTCCCATCTTAGGATAACACAATAATTCCTGTTGTTGTGGGTCTTTGCTTTTATGTTGAGAAAGAAGCAAACAGCTCAGAGAGACATCTCTCCTCACAAGCTGGGAGCCCAAGACCCAGGACTGCAGGGCACACTGTGACCCCTTCATCTCCTGCTACACACACATGCACTGATTCACATCACAAACAGCATAAAGCTGGGCAAGAGTTTTCTGCTGCTATCTAGTCTCAGATTCCCTGCTAAGATAAAGTGTATACTGCTGACACTTCAATACAGGAGTCATTTCAGTGTGCTGGGAAACAAGGGAGGCAGTGTTCAAGGCAAACAAGCCATTCAAGTAGCTAAATCTTTTTTGGTTTTCTCTGAATCAGCATTCTCCAAACATCAGTCTTCAGGGCTATAGGAAGGAGTTCTAAGCTAAAAGTTCTATTTTCCAAAGTGTTTTTGTTAAGGCTTTCAATGAGGAATTAACTAAATTTGCTGGGTGGTTGCTAAAAAATTGAAGGTCAGAAGTGACACAGAGCTTCAACAAGCTAAAATTCTCTACAGAGTTCTCCTCTCAAATCAAGAACTTCTTCATTCAGGTTCACAGATGGACACTGATGCAAGACCACGAGCCGACTTTGTGTCTTGTCCCCAGCAAGCTGACAAAAAGTGACAGAACATGGAAACATTTTAGAAAATAGTATTTTAAGTGAAATATGAAAATACCATGTTGCTTTTCCCGCTCTTCTCTACGCTCCCTGGCCAGTCTTTGCCTTTCTTCTGTTCTTAGCATGGAACCATCTATCACTGTCAAAACAAAAATTGAAGACACATAATTGTCAATGACTTTGAACATTCAAATTTATATAAAATGTCAAAAGTCTTTACTATCAAAAGGAGAATGAAACTTCCTGAGAGATGCACACACCACCAAATCACTGCACACTCTACACAGAGATTAAAAGATACCATCTGAAAAATTCACAGAAAGCTGAACATCCTCCTCTTCCCCCTTTCCATTCCCTCACAACACTATTTTTAATAGGTGCAAGAGAAAGCAGACATCATATTAAAGTCTCCATAGTGACAGTCAAAGGAAAGCCTAAGAAGTCAGATGTGTGAGAACATACCCTCTTCCATATTCAGCCCTGATCCTCATTCTTGTACATATTAACTCCCATGAACAAGAATGACAGAAATTTAGGAAAATGTCATCTGGGAACAGATAGTTCACCTGTCATGACAAATTCAGAGCACTGTAGGACAGCTGATTTGCAGACTAAGCAGAACCAAGACTTAAGCAGTCTTTGCAGGAATAAAAACTTGAATTTCAGCAGGAAGTGATCTGGTAACTTGCCCAGTTACCATCATTATCTTTGCTGTCATGTCCTGCTTACAAAACAGGCAATTTCCATTGAACTCTGAGCCAGTCAAAAACAGAAATCTGTCATCAAAACCAAACCTACAAACCATCTACCAGGTGCTCTGATGCCTCCTGAAGAAAGAGCACCAAACCTCTCTCTAAATATGTTCTTTTCAATCCCTACTAACCCTCGTTTGTGAGCCCAGCACTTCATTAAGAGCAATGACCTGTAATTATACCTGGTTTAGTTGCTGTCTTTATTGAGGTCTGGACTGCAAGAGGGCTAATGCCACTTTGGCTTCTTCTTTCTTCTGCAATGGCTTGGGCTGCAGCAACTGTGAGAAAGAATCAATCCACATTAAGAAAAGCTCTACAACTGAAATTCATTAAATAAATATCTAAAATAAATACACAAAATTCTGCTTGAGGTCGCTGATGCTTTTATTAAACAACTAACTGAGGGCTGCTCAGCTTCTAAGGAAAAACTTGTCAAATGAGACTTGAGACCGGGCATAGCTTTTCGTTGTAAAAACATTTATCAAACCTGATGTTTTAAGACTATAGAGTTTCAAAGATCAAACTTATTAAATAACTCTTCTAGAATTACCTCCATTATTTTGCATAGTTATATGTGACTTACATTTAATAATAGAAACTCCTTGCTACCACATGAGCATCTGTGGGCTGTACACACATATGTAATAGCCCATTAGCACTGCTAGAATAATATTCTGATGAGACCCAAGCAGGAAGAGGTCTATGAAGACCTGTCATTACTTCATGGCATGAAAGAGAAAGGGGATTAGCTGCATAAAGTAAACCATTAAGGGATGTTAACAACATACTTCTGAAACTGGATCTGCAAAAATAAATTTAATTATAAATTAAGACTCCAAAACAGTAAATTGAGCATTTGTAGAGACCCATTCACCTTATCTGAGTTTCACCAAGGTGACTTCAGCAAAATGCAGGCCTACAACTCACAGATAATCACACAGAAAGGAAATGTTACCAATATTAATTTCACTACATAACAAAATCCATTAACAAGTCAGGGAGACTAATTTAGTGTATCACTCTCCCCAGATTTTCTTTGTTTTGGTATCAGCCTTCACTAATCACCTCACAGGGTGTGAAGAGTTACAGGGAAAGCAGGCAGGACAACCTGTAAGACAGCATTACCCCAGAGCCCTGCACAGCTCAAACAGAAGTGTCCTCACACGCTGCCACCCGGCTCTCACCTTGGCTGACAGACACTGCAAGCTCAACTGGCTTCCATGGAAAAGCCCAAAATTTGGGGAAGCAAGGGAACACAACCCACCCACACATGAGAAAGTTGAGGCCAGTTTTACACAGGAAAGGCAAATCCACAAAAGGAACATGTAACGTGCTGTGATCTCACCCAGAACATGAAGGACCAATAGTACAAATTGCTGTTATATTTTAAAAAAGGAGACTACAACTTTGCCAATGATCTGACTTCCCTTTATTAAGAGGAGTGCAGAATGCAAAAGAGGAAGGAAGAGTCTCCCTCTTCTCCATGCATTGCCATGACAACTATTTGTGTCATGGTAATAACCCTCCCCAAGGCCGTGCCCAAGAACAATCACCTCAAAGTGTTTAATCCCATGTGATTTCAGTGATAAATGCTGATTACAATACTTATTCAGCAACTCTAAATTGTCACCCGCAGCTGTTGCCATGTCTTGAATTAGTTTTTCAGTGCAGCAGCAAACAAAAGTCTTCCTCCAACCCATCCTATACATCTCTGAGGCTCTTTTCACACAAGTCAGAGACCAGACATACTACACAATGACATTACCAAATGGCAAAAAAATAGCTTAAAAAAGGCCCACTGTTTTTTCACTCTAGATCAGACAATTTAGACAAAATTCTGATTTTTGTACACTGTTGCATGTCACATGGATGGGAATCCAGCCCAAAAAAAACCACCAAGTGGAGAACAACAGAATTATCTAGTCTAACACAAATGGAACTGAAAACAGGCAGAGGAAAAGCAGCCCACTGCAGGTGTTCTGAGAGCAGAAATGTACAACCAGGGCATTCATATCCAATGACACCTTTGTACATCACAAAGACTGAAGGAACATAAGCTTCTTCAAATACTACTTAGATTTCAGACAAATACAGAAATACAGGTATATCTTTCCTCAAGGGAGGAGACAGAGCTGCCCAGGAAGCCTGAGCCAACTCAACCCAGGCAGGAAATTATCCCAACAGAACAAAGTCACTCTGCACCTAAACCAGCTTCAGTTAAGACCAATACTGGAATTTTGCCTCACCTCTCAAAGTTTAAATATCCAAATTTCCATAACAAAGTTATAGTAAAAAGCAACCTACAATTAAGCAGGTACAATATTAATTTTATTTTACTTGCAGAAGTATTTTACTATTAGAAATCTTGCTGAACAAAGCAGCCATAATGGATATGGGGGATTATGTATTTATTTACTCAATCAAAACAGTTTACTCAATATACAGCTGGAATAATGTTCATGATTAGAAGGCACTTATTTAAAAATGTGTCACATCTGCAAAGCAATTAGTCAGCTTATTTTAATTAATTAAGGTTGCAAAAGATTACTATTCTATAAGACAGGAAAATGGGTTACAGAAACAGTTCAGCTTGCAGAGGACACAGAGGTGAAAAAACTCTAGAAATACCCAGCCAGAGGTTTTTGCACATCAAGGTTTTTTGTATGTCAGATAAAATATTTTACGTTCACTCCTTCAGTGCTTCATTATTTGCATAGAAACAACGCATTAACACATTTGAAAGTAGCAGATTTAAGGCACAAGGCATGCACCTTCATGCCACATGAATGTGATCCTTTTAAGCAACAGAAAGCCAGAGTCAAATGTGAATTGGGGATCTGAACAGAAGATTAATAAAAGGGGAACAGACATCACATTAGATACATGCCTGAGATACGTGAGCTCAATTTCACCAAGTTTCTAGTCAGCAGACAGGTTTTATGGCCCTTGACTATTTCATGGTAAATTTATAATACAAAACTGTGATTTTCAAAGTCCACATTTTACTACAGTAAAAGAAAATGCATTGCATATTGTTGCACTATGCAATCTTTAAGAAACACCTCTCTTATTTTGCTTTGACATGATTAAAAAACCTTAATAATGAATATATTTAAATGGTTTTTGGCAGATACCTATCATTTCTCTGCCTAGATTTCCATAATGAATGTAGCAGTCTGCTGTGGAGTGAAGCTTCATGGAAAAAAAATTTCCACAAAATATATCTTTGTAAAATACAGAGCCTAATACCTCTGTAATGAATTAGGATACCCCAGAACAGGAAACCAGTTAACAACCATTTCACTAGAATCCATATCACATGTTGCATTAATGTGGGGGTGCCTTCATGGACATATTCAGCAAACTCCCTGGAGAAGAAAAATTATCTTAGAGTCAAATTATATCTCATTTTTATTCAGAGCTTGCCCTCCCACAGTAGTCTTTCACAACAGTATTTTGTGATCAGCATAACGTGTATGTTTATTTTACAGTATTCTACCTTTAAGTGCTCCAGGTAAAATTAATAAAAATATAAGCCAATCATGAGGCTAATAATAATATCTGCATTAATGCATAATAAAACAGAGCTATTTGAACCATGAAATGATTAGGTAATTTGGGAAGCAGTTTTCCTTCTGTGCCCTCATCACCATTTAGCACCCCAGGTCTGGCCAAGCAAATCAGAGATAAACCAAACCCACAGAAGCACCAGGAGGTGACATTCTAGATAAATCCAACTCTCCCAATTCCACTTCCAGCTCACGATCCACTGACAGTGCAGGTGCTAAGGTGCCTCCAGAGCATGACAGCACTTCCCTTCCCTGATCAGGTTTCCAATGTGCCCTGAAGAGACCGGTGCTAAAAATAAACCTTGATTTCTATTTCAACCCCTGCACACGGCTAATACCCTTGGCCCCTGCCAAGACTGGCAAAGAACCCACTGCTGTTCTTAGCAAACCTCATTAGGGACTGCAGCACTTCTGGCCCTTCACCCAGCAGGGTCCAGGCCTTCCATCCCATGGCCCGCCCCGTGTCCGTGACCCGGCCGGACACTGCCCCTCGCTCTCCCCTTCCCTCGTGGAACTGCAGAGGAGAGCAGAATGTGCTGACTGTCACAGCAATCCTTCTGCTCCTTGTGATTTAATGACTCGTTATGCAAAGCAAACAAAAAATCCCAGACTAAGCCTCTGAAAGAAGGGGTGTTAGGAGGGCTCCTGAATGTTAAGCATTGTTACGATTCTAAGTGCGTCCATAAAAGTTTAAAGCAAGCAACAAGAAGCCAATAAGCAATCCATGAATCAAAAGTGAACATTCCAGCAAATTATCTCTGATTTTATAGCAAACTGTGCCAAATCTGCAAGCCTCAAGTTTTGCCTTGCTGAAGTACAGGGAGCCATGTTTGCCAATAAGTGTTCAGATCTTTTTAATAAGTTTTGTACACACTTTCAGGGAAGATAAGGAAACTCAGTATTCAAGTTTGAGATTTCTGTGCACTGCGTTTTAAGCTGATTTCCACTCACTAATTAACATAGGTTAAGACAAATGGATGCAAGATCATATGTTTGAAGCTTTAAGAAAAATTAGGTATTGGTTTTTACACCACTACTCCTTTTTCAGATGACACCAGAGGAAGGATGCACCTTCACAAAAACAAGTGGACAACACAGAAAGTTGCTAATGATGGAGAGAAAGCCCTCTCTGTGTGCACTCCTCTCTTCCCTGTTTTCCCCTTTTCTGTCTTTCCCTGTTGATCCTCACATCCCATCTTTGGGTTGCAAGGACTGACAGGCTCCATAAACAAATACGTGAGCTTCCTGGTAGGCACCTTCTGACGGACCAGCTGGAAGGCAGATGGTTCTCCTGTTTTGTCTGGGCAGCCACCAGATGGGAAGCACGGAGATCTCCAGAAAGCAGTGCACACTCACAGCTTCAGCAGGCTAGAAGAGCTTCCTTTTATCTTATCCCTATCCCAGACTCCATTTGCAAACTTTGTCCTATATTTATTCCCTACATAGGATACCTATTTTACTACATTTATGTGCTTTCCTCCCTTTAAGACCATCTCCTCAGCTAATTCTGTACAACATTCTGGTTTTGCTCCCAAAATTCAAGACAGTTCAAGGTGATTTCTTCAGTTCATCACAAGTTTTGATCCCACTGGAAAACCCAATACAAGCATTCCTTTGCAATATAAGAATCAGCAGCTCCACGAGTATTTGAGACATACTTGCAAGAACTTAAGTTTTTACTTATCTTCAAACATCCACATTCAGATTAA